GGCTCCATCTTGAACACGGCGGTGTCGGCTCCACTCTCGGTTTGACCCTCACACGAGACGTCGGAGCGCTCGAACGTCTGCATCTTGCCGTCGAATACTTCACCAGCCTTGATAATGTAGGCTTCAGCGTATTGGACGGTTCCGGTGCTTGTGGGCCACGTACCATCGGGTACGGAGGCGGCGGATGCCGTCGCAAGGAGAAGAGTCGCGAACGGCACAAAGGACTTGACCATCGTGGATTGCAGCGGTGTGATTGATGAGGAGTTGGTCACTTGCTGCTCGAATGGCAAAATGATTAATGAGGAGAGGCCGGCACCGATTAACGTTTTAGTCTGTGCGTTAGTTGGGATACGGAAGGCACCAAGAAGTGCCGGTAGACCATCAGGGAGTTGTGGTCACCGGGTGTTGCACGGGGTCTTGACAGCACTGATGTATTCTTCTAGGGAAGATTGACGTCCTGATTGCTAAAGATCACATTTGCCATTTGTTTTCCAGTAGTTGTGCTGCTGTTTGGGGTTTGCGGGTGAGCTCTCTATCGACCTTTTCGATTGCCCGTCAAATCCATGGCGACCGTCAAGAGCTGTGGTCCTGCGCTGGTTGATTTGACAAGTTGACGTTTGATGCGCTACTTGTGACGTGCCATTCCAAGTTGTCTGCACGCGCCTGCCTCAACGTTTCGGGGTGATCGACAGAGACCAAGGAGGATTCTCAACGCACCGCACCGCGAGCCCAAGGCAGGATCAACACTCCCTAAAGGACACCTGTTCTGCTATAATACATCCTGCGTCTGTATTTCAGAAACACCGGTTGGTGTCCGCCATCTGCAAGGCTGAAAAAAATAAGCAGACATCAGATACTGTGTTCACCAGCAGCAGATTGGTCTGGCAATCATTTAAACACAATTTCAAAGTCTGGTAACATTGTCGCCTTTTTGCTTGTAGAGCTGGTGAATATTCACATGTGCCGAATCGCGGAATTTCTTTCCCTGCAGTCGACTCTGTTCACTTGGTAAGTCGTGCTTTTCGGTGCGCTGGGTCCGATGAGCCTCTGTCCACCCTATATATAAAGATCTGTGAGCAGAGGGGCCATGACATCGACAGCATGAGCGGGATCAGCTGTTACCTGTCAAACTCTCGAGTCGAGGCTGACCAAGTGGTTGTTCGTCGTAAGAGACCAAAGCCATTCCAAGCGACCATTGTTGAACCGTGCTCGCACGTACATACCGACAACCAAGCATTGAGGCGCAGCGAATGCGTTGCTGCCGCTTGTGTGATCATCGCAGTGGTGTCCACCGTGGAGCCCACGAAGCTCCGCGTCCGTGTGGTGTTTGAGAACGGAATGTCCACCGACGACCATGTCAGCAATCTCAACGACTAACGCGACTACCGGAAACAGATGCACATCTTCAACGAATTTCACAATCGATTCAGATTTGTTTCGCCTCACAATTATTAACCTGGACACATTCACTCTGTGAGTATAATTCCTTACAGTTTGTTATTTTGCTGTGTTCATGTATTATCACAAGCATGCATCGATCAAAAAGATATATTGTCCGTCTTCTAGGAGTTTCATCGGCGTGCTCACCAATAGCCCATGAATATATTACCCTTTAAAGCACCTTTTTGGAACTATGTCATGCCGTTCCCGCTAACATGTACGACAGACACCTGTCGCTTTCTCAAACACATACACCAGCCGCCTGTAGCGTGCGTTGCCAAATGTTCTAGAAGTAAAAGGTTCAACAATCGTAGCGTCACTCCTCTTCAGAATTCACACGAGTCGCACCCCGCGCATGACAGCACATGTACAAAGGCAAATCACACGAGAAGTTCCTCAGTATCAAAGTGACAATGTAGAAGCCAAATCTTTTCGAACAGCAACCATTTGCCCTGGAAGCCACCGAATCCATCAGCAGCAGGACTGGAAAGCATCTGGATATCAAATGTGCGTTTCGGTGCTGTCAAGACCCCGTGCAACACCCGGTGACCACAACTCCCTGATGGTCTACCGGCACTTCTTGGTGCCTTCCGTATCCCAACTAACGCACAGACTAAAACGTTAATCGGTGCCGGCCTCTCCTCATTAATCATTTTGCCATTCGAGCAGCAAGTGACCAACTCCTCATCAATCACACCGCTGCAATCCACGATGGTCAAGTCCTTTGTGCCGTTCGCGACTCTTCTCCTTGCGACGGCATCCGCCGCCTCCGTACCCGATGGTACGTGGCCCAC